GGGGGGGGCGCAGGAGGGAGGGGGCAGTGGGCGAGAACCAAGAACTGTATCAAAATCTGGGACTCTGTGGGTGCATGGCAGCACTTCTCCACCTGGAACTACTTCCCCACCGACAACATCGACGACATCGCTGGACCGTGGGTGGTAACTATGCTCTCGCTTTCTGTCTTCTATCTCTCTGCTTTCTCCTCTCTTTCCTGTCTCTGTTTTTCTGTTTGTCCTATCCGCTCTAGGGACTTTGCTGTGTTAGCGCAATAAAAGTTTGTTGTGTGTGTGACATCTGACCTCATTTGTGTCTTAATTTCACCATTTGGGATCACCTTTATTTATTAAAATTGTAAAAAGTATCCGAATACTGGATCGTGACGGGGGTCATGCATGGTTGCAGGTCCACACCTGCCCCACCATCCTTCACAGACTGCTCCACTGTGCTTCTCCATGGGATGTGCAGAGCAGCTACCATGCCACTATTGGCTGCGGGGCAACCTATTCTTCGGCATCTTTTCCCCCTCCTTCCTCACTGCCCTTGGTATCTCTGCTTCAGTATTGCTGTCACCTTGCCCTCTCCCCTACCCTGCAGGTCTTATTGCAATTTCCTTTTCCCTTTCTTTAAAAAACTACTCATGCAAGCTGCAGGAGCTGAGAAGGCAGCTCACTCCAAGCACCATATAACAAGTGCTCAGAGGAAACAGCAATAAATCATAGTAATGGGACACTCCCTTTTCAGGGGTACAGACTGACTCATTTGCAAACTGGACCCACTTGCTAGAAAGGTCTGCAGCTTACTGAGGTCTCAAATGAAGCACAGAACAGAAGGATTACAGTCCACCAACTATTATCTGCTCCTACTATTTCACAAGGCACCACTTACACAGCCAGGAGTAACCTGAAGATTATCAGGAAAGACTACAGGGTGCTGGGAGCGGCGGTGAAGGGCTTGGGAGCACAGGTAGTGCTCTCTTCAATCCTTCCAGTCGAAGAGAAAGGGCTAGAAAGGGCCAACTGAATTGTAAAAGTCAACAAATGGTTACAGGAGTGGTGCCATAGTCTTGGCTTTGGTTACATAGACCACAGGACTCACTTTGAGAAACCTGGTCCCCTGGAGGCTTGATGGGTTTCATTTGTCTGAGAAAGGGTGGACAGTCTTTGACCACAGGCTGGCCAGTTTAGTCAGGAGGGCTTTCAACAACTGATGCCAGGGGAAGGGACCCTCAACTCATTTCCCACCCACCATTTTGAGGACAGGGCCAGTAACAGATGCCCTGGGCCTGCAAAAGAATCTCAGGGCAACAGCAAAGCACCTAACCTGCAAAATGTAATCCCTGCCAGCACAACTGCTTCAATGGGAGCTCTTCTTAAACGTCTTGGTGTGAATACACAGAGCACAGGGAATGAACAAAACCAATTGCAGATATGTGGATGCCTGCAGGGTTATGATGTTAATTGTATCATTGATACATAGTGGGATGGCTCCTGTGACTGGAGCGTGGAGACGGTTGGGTGTAAGATTTCAGGAAGAACAGGCAAAAGAGAAGAGGACAGGGTGTCGTCCTCTACATCATTGACCAGCTGGAGCCCATGGAGCTCTGCCAGGGGATGGATCAGTTGCTGACTGAGAGCTTATGGGTCAGAGTTAAAGAGAAGACAGGTGCAGGAGATGTCATAGTGGAGGTCTGCTGCAGGCCATTAGATCAGGATGGCCAAGTTGATGATGGCCTCGACAGGCAGATAGAAGAAGCTTCACGGGCACAGAAGTCATGATGGATTTCAACCACTCTGGTATCTGCTGGAAGACCATAACAGCAAGGCACAAGCAATCCAGGAAGTTTCTGGAATATGTAAATTGCAACTTCCTCCTCCAAATGGTAGAGGAACCAACAAGAAAAGGTGCTATGCTGGATCTTGTTCCCACCAACAGAGGCGGGCTGGTTGAAGATATAAAACTAAATGGGAGACTAGGCTGCAGCAACCATGACATGGTTGAATTCAGGATCCTTAGGGTAGTGAGAAAGGAGCAAAGCAAGCTCACTACCATGGGGATACCATGGGACAAGGCTGTGGAGGGAAGGGGAGCCCAGGACAGCTGGTCCATATTCAAGCATCACCTCTGCCATCCACAGGGGCAATGTGTCTCAACTAAAAGAAAGGCAGGCAGGAGTGCCAAAAGGCCTGCATGGATGAGCAAGGATCTTCTGGCCACAGTTAAATGTAAAAGTAAGGTATAAAGGGACAGGTATCCTGGGAAGAGTACAAACAAGTTGTCAGAGAAGCAAAGGAGGAAAGACAAAGCACAGAGTGTTGGATCTGGCCAGGGATGTTAAGAACAACAGGAAAAGTTTCTACAGGTGTGTCAGTGGTAAGAGAAAGACAAGGAAAAATGTGGGTCCACACATTAATTAATTTTGTTTGTTTGATTGATTTGACATATGTCTTTGTGCTCAGTGCAACTGATTAAAAAAAGACTCCTGATACACCAAGACTTGAGGTCATCACAACATTTTTAAAAAAAAGGGCAAAATCCATATACGCATTACAAAGATTTTTGAAACTTGTATTACATGTCAGATCTGTAAGTATATTAAGATGGTAGCCTAGAATCAGTACAGTTGTTTGGTGAAAAATATTTCCTAAAAAAGCAGTTTTGATTTTAGAAATAACATTTGACATTGATTTTTGGCCATCACTATTGTACCCATGGCTCCACTTGACCATCCTTAGCACTTACCTTGTGCAGAAAAAAATGTGTGTGCAAAGAGTGCTTATTTGTTTCAGACACAGGAAGAAATAAAGTCTTTGAAGATGCCCCTGATAAAACAGTTTAGAACCTAACACAACAGAAAAAGATACAAATCTGTATCTTTTCCCAGATAATAGGCACTTTATTTGCTTTCCTCACCCAATTCCATTCTATCCATAAACTGACAATTTCTTTAACTTTTTACTTGGGTGTTTTTTGTGGATATTTATTTATTTATTTATTTATTATTTTATTTTATATTACTTGATTCAGTTGGTTATTTTAAAAGTGTTTATAATCTGTAATTTGCATGGTAGCAGAATCTTCATTTTATTCTTTTTTTTTTTTAGGCTGCCTAGAATTTTAATAGTGGGTCTTGGAAGGAAAAACTTAGAGCATACATGCCAGATAATGCTTAAAATATTTTTGGTGAAAGCTACCATATCACTCTGATCAGGCAGAAACCTGCAATATAATGGCTAATTTGGTGGATCCACCTTGAACATGATAGATTTAGCATTACTTGGAAAATTTGTGTTATTTGGCCTATTTACCAGATTAGGAAAAATTTTGGGGAAAAATAAAGTCCACAAAACACGACATAAGCACAGAGTTAAAACAATTGAGTGAAATCTGGAGTGAAAGTGGAACAGAAGTAAGTCCTTAATAAGTACAGTCTTTGCACATAATAAGAACTTCCAACTGACTAGGGAAATCTGTTTATGAAAAAAATGAGCAATCCCAGAAGAAAAACAAATTAAATTACAGGAAGACACTTCTTACTAGTTTGAACTAGTTCTGTATTTTCTGCTGAAGTGATCCATTTTCTTTCATTCAAGTTATCAAATTATCTCCTCTGAGATTTTCCATTTCTTTGCAGCTGGTGGGTGTTTGGATAAAACTAAGGACAAAATTCAGCTCACAGCTTTTGAAGGGCTTTAGTATCTTTCAGGGTGAAGAACTTAATGTAAATGTAAGTTTATTATGTAGAAGAAGAGCTTTGAACTTGGAGAGCAATTAAAAAAGACAATGTAGAAGTTATCATCAGGTTCATGAACAGAATAATGAAGGGTAATGCATCTTTCACTGGAGTTGCAAAATGCAAATGAATATCAATGTTTATTTATAAACTATTATCAGTGTAGGCTGTGATGTGCTCATAGATACAGCATATTTAAAAATAAAAGGCAAAATTGCTGTAGCAGCTAAATAAATAAATAAATAAATAATCTAAATCCTGAATCCCAGGATCATCAGCTGAAATCTGTAAGTTTGAGAATACTCAAGGAAATAAATAACATTTTTTAATGAAAAGCTTTGAGTTAGTTTAAATATTAACATTATCTATTTCTTCCA